GTATGAACAAAGTGAGAAAACACTACTAGTGTCACTTGACTTAGCAAATAAGGGGAGCACAGAGCTCGTGTTCTGTAGGCTTGTATCCGATAAGCAGGAGATATTGATCGAGAAGGCAAGTGCTGCCTTTTGACCGATCTATGACAACGTGCATATGTTGAAACATGACAAGCTGAGGATTGATCGAGAACGGATGAACTGCGTGTGTCACCTTGGTTGGACATGGTCTTGCCGACAGGGTACAAGTGAAGCTTTGTGGTTAAAGCTGCGTTAAACCTACAAGATAAACGCCTAACAAAGCAAGGTGGGTGAGGGCCAATAATTGGAGGGTTGGAAACGAAGGGTAAAAGTGTAGTTAGAACTGGGCGCTAAGGCGCAAGAGGGTGGTAAGAAAATAGGAAGACTGAGTAGTAACATCCAAATCCCTATCAGTCCTGTAGAGTCGATGTTGCTGTCTCCAATCCTGCACTTTACCACGCGTTCTGTGCTAGTTTTGACCTATCGGATACATATAGCCTAAGCTGGGAATGGAACTCGATACAGTGCTTGGTAGATATAGCAATGATCACTAAACCGTTGCGCTCCGCGAGAAGCGCTTGACACAGCAGTTCGAAGTTGATTTTCAGGTTTTGCAACACGCGCCATGTATCTTGGATTGCGACACGCAGTCTCACTTGTGGCTTCGGTTTACTTAGAAGTCAGCCTCCGCCAATGGTACCACTAGGACCGTCACCGAAGTGAATGCTTTCCGTGTTACTTTGTCTCATCCTGATCCCACCTGATCGATGGGGTGCCGGTGATTATCCCATGAGCAGTAACACAGACTAAGCGAGGGAAAAATAGGTGAAATAGTCCTAGCTGCATTGGATTTCTTTTCTGTACCGAATGAAATAAATATCTACAAGTCCCCTTGCTCTTGTAATGTGCACCCAGTCATTGTCAAGCCGATTGTCATTATTCTCCAGCTTTCCGTCCTTAAATTGTACGACATGCCTCTTCGTGGGGGAAGGATACAACAGGATTGGAATTAGGCGCTTTTAGTGGTCATCCATAAAGACAGTTCTAGCTCACCCCCAAATAACTACAGACCTGTTAGTCTGACTAGCATATTTTGAGCTGTTTGGAAATTCTTAGCTGAGACTGTTTGTATCTAACTGGCACAACTGGAACGGAGTGGAACAGCATGGCTTTGCCATGAATAAATCGTGCCCGCTGTTTTTCTTGAGGAAATATCCTGGTGTCTTGATAAAATGATTACCATAGAAGGGTGTTATCTTGCTTTCACTAAGGTTTTAATTCGGTTAATCCCAGCTTTCTTCGAGCAAATTTGATCTGGTTTGGATTCCACCCACAGCCGCTTCCTTGGCTGTATGCGTTCCTCTACGGTAGGACATTTCACGATATGGTGAATAATGGTATTTCGAGCACAGCTACTACACACAGGGGAGCCCCGCAGGGTTCAGTACTCGGTCCCCTACTGTTTCTTACGTTTACAACTAACTCAGCTCCAGTACTTAAGGAACCTGCCTATATTTTTGCTGCTGAGTTCAAGCTAGTTAGCAAGGGCGACAGGGTTACACTATCCATAGATTTGGCTACCGTTGTAAATTGGTCATGCATACGGGGGTTAGCACTTGAGCGCCATCAAATTGCACAGCTGTACTCAGAGTGATGAGAATTTATTGCATGCCCACGTTGGGTCTCTGACACTGTAACGTCTTACAGAAGCAGGCGATCCTGACGCCATCGTGACGATTAAGTTCAAGCTTTCTACGCAGTGTATGCATGCTTCTAACTAGGTATGGCAGGGGTTATTTCGACTCCGGAGAGCTCTGCGTTTTGCCACGTCAAGAACCTTTGTTCCTCTGAGTAGTTGTTAGACCACATCTGAAACACTATCTTCAGGCCTGCGTGACATACATGAAGATCGAGATCAATTGTATTGAGAATGTGCAGTCTGACCACTCGAATGCTAGAAAGTCAGCGGGAGTTACCATATGCAGATCTGGTAGCTAACTTAGAATTGTTCTCAATGAGGAATCGCAGATTTGGAAGGGACTAAATAGAGACAACCAAAATAAGGGAGGGTTTAAGTGATCTCAGGCCCACTGACCTTTTTGAACCAGCTACGTCGTACTACTGACTGGACCATCGTCTAAAGTTGAAAAAACAAAGTTCTAGGTTCTGTATAAAAGCCGTGTTTCTAAAAGCGAATAGTTCCTAATTGGAATAATATTCCCTCCGTATTATTAGTACGTAAGACGGTAGAGTACTTGAAGCGATGTTTGGACGAATATTGGTTGGTGCCAGTGTTGGGATGAGCAACACCAAAATATTTCCATTGGTTGGTCCTGTTCCCCGAATTCCTATGAGAAACCATGGCAGCCTATGAGAATGTTTGTAATAGTAAATAATAATGTGTCGGCCATACGCTGTAATGGCGCTTCTCTGCTGCGCCTTAACTACTGGTAGCACGTGGTCTGATTATACCGCGCGGATACCAGCCCACTACACGGATTCGAACTTGGGACCTTTAGTTTGAATCCAGGAGTACAGATCACTCGGTCACCAGCAGTGGAAATTCGGTTGCTTTTGTTCTTAATTTCCTCATTATACCCACAAGAATCTACTATCAATTTGAAGTGTTGGGAGTTTGCTTTGCTTACTGGAACTGGACGCTTGTTAAGCAAACACTTTTTTCTTCCTTGGATTCTGTCCTATGCTGATCACCAGAGCACCAAGGTAGTGTTTCTAGAGAAATACATTGTACTTGGTATGTATTTTACAGAATAAAGGTAAATATATTAGCTTTTCATTCGGGTACTTCGTTCAGTCTCATGCATTGCCTTTTCAATGGATCTTACCTGGTATCCTTTTATGGTTCACAAATTTTGCTCTGTTCTGTATTACGTTACAATTTTATTTTCCAAAACTACACCTGACTTACTGTTTCAATTCACGTTGTTTCTGGGAAAGTTGCATTTGCGTATTAGCATTTCCCTTTATAAGCGAGATTCCTTATCGCTCATTTTGTAAACTCACAGAACCTGAACTCAAATGGTGTAGTGTTATAGGCCGAAATCACGTGGTTTGTACAATTCAAACCCAATTAACCACTCGCGTTAGACATCTGAATTGCATGTAAATTTGAGATGACTGCCCGACATGCGATTATTCATGAGGTCTTTTGCCATCTGGCCATTCGTTTACCAAGAAGTCATTCGTTTCCACTTTCCGACACTTAAGCAAATTTACTTCGACTAAAGCCCTATCCAAGAGTAACGAAACAGATTGTCAAGATTTGTTCAATGTTGAAACGAACCATTTGCATCTCAAACGGCCATTAATCACACCATTCAGCGAGACAAGGAACATTTTACACTGAGAAGAACTGCTGCAGATTGGTGACCAGGTTGAACAAGTTTGCATATAACTTGACGGAACCGTCGAAGATCAGCTAGCACCGCTGGTTGATATCGATGTTGAATCACTTGTTAACATTATAATTAAATTTAAACCGTGTTGTAATAATGTCTAAAATACTTGCGCTATCCCTGGTTAAATGTGTCCCTGCCCGAGCTTCTAATTGCGACGTAATTAATTTACCCACATTTTGAACCATTTCGGATTTGAAATGAACTTGGGATTTGGGTGGATTATTACTTTAAGCTGTATACTTTTGATCACAAAATTGGTTGATTAATCAATGTCTAACTGATTCTGCTAAAACTTATGAAACACCAGTGGGCAGCACTAAAGTCGTCATTCACGGCGTCACAGGCTTTCTGCCTTATCTGGATATTTGATGCATCGATAAATAAAGATATGAATCTAATATGTATTCGAGCCATGAACCTATGAATACCTCGATTCAAAGCAGTAATTGTTCCCAACTTACTGCGTGTGCTTTTCTAAACTATCCAGCATGAGTGGCGCCTGCTTTCGAGCGCCTGTAAGGAAATGAAGTGTATTGCAAAAATTTAAAATCGGATTTGTTCTACTTGTTTACCACACAGCGAAATGCAGTGTATGGTCCTTTGTGCTCAGTTAATCAGACATCAGACGCTCTGTACACACCACTGTCGCCTGGTGAGTACCCAGCTCAAGTCTGATGCCTAGTCCGGTGTCCAGGTTACTGCGAAAGATCCAACAACTAGCTAGCGGTCAGGCAGCAGCTGATGTTTCGACTACAGAGAATTCTGTCATTTAGGATGTAGTTCTCATGGGAGAGGTGAATGAGGTTCGCAGTAATGTAACGTTAGGTCTAAGGTGGAATTATACCCCATACTCCACACATAAGACGTGCACTCCGGAACCTACGCAGGAATGGTAGTTCAATAATTCCGAAAATAGTACAATATCACTAATCTTCTAGATTCTATTAAAGGCTAGAATTAATGCGCTTCCGACCGTACGAGATAATGAAATAATGATTTACGACGGGTAGAAAAGCACAAAACTTAATGATGAAACGGATAGGATGACCTGATTGCCCAAAACTTAAAACGAAGTCCTAAAATCTGCTAAAATGGTGATGACCTAGTTGCTATGTTGTTACATCGGCACAGAGCCAGTTAGGGTATGGATCTGGGGACAACAACTTTCGGGGGAATAATCTACCTGAAAGCACTTTCTTTGGAAACGGTTCTATGAATGGCTGTATTAGTTTACTTGAACATGTGGGCAAATCTGCACTTGTTATGGCTTCTATTCTCTTATCCGCCCAAGTGCCTTCAAATTGTTAATCCCTCTAAGAATTCGTTTGGGATCCATTGTATAAAACGTGAAAAATTACTCTTTTTATACCATCTCGTTGTACGAATTGATCAGACCACTTAGTTGAAATATTTCTCGGAACGTCGAGGAATATACCTTTTGTTTGTTTACTGTAGATTCCTTAGATTGGAGGTGGAAGGTTACAAAATCGAATATTGAATAAGCAGACCAAATAAAATGCATGTCCTTGAATGAACAGAGTAATGGTACAAGAATAATGGCATTGTGGAGTGGTAGGTGCCATGCGAAACGGATTAACAACTTGTTAAGGTCAATGTTAATAGCAACTAACGATTGGATTGCTCACCCGTCTGCACAGCATTATATGCGGCACTGGTATTTACCGTTCAAAAACATCTATTCAAATAACAAAGTGTAGGGAGCTCAATGTTATTTACAATCCTTTTTTGTTAAACGTCTAAGATGGGAACACGAACAAATGTATTGGAGAGGGTCTTCCAAGGCTGGCAGACTCGTAATCAAATCTTAGTTTATTGACAATCTATACGGCTGTTCTTTTGACCGATTTCCTGGCTATTGCCTGAGTTTGATTTCCGGGCGCAGTTAAACAAGGTGTCGGCATACTAGGTTGGGGTCATTCAGCATTTTGTAAACTAGTCTGATATCTTCACGTAGCCGCAGTTCGCATCCACTGAACACTGAATCTCGGCCGTCCTTCTTGAGATCGAAGATGACGCAAACCTTTTGCATCGTTTGTTGCTTGACGTTTGGGAGTTTCAAGCCCTGCTGGGTCCTGTTTTACTCAAGCTTGCCATGCCTGGATAACGTGTTTGACCTGTGGACGCAAGTAAGCATTGAGCATCAGAGAGAAGTTGGATGATAGAAACTCCCGAGTGCCCTCCGCAAGTGACCAACATGCTGCTTACCTATATTTGACGCGGACGCTGACTGCTAGGAACAACAGAAGTCGTCCCTGTACCAGCACACCAAGGTCACGTGCATGAGTGGAGGTCTTCAGATCGCGCGTCCCAAGTGTGCAGATGTACGCGTATGGATGGCGGATGTGGACAACGCAGCGCTTGTTCAAATTGAATGACGGTACGTTCCTTATCGACTAAATCCAGACTTCATCGAGGTAGCGCTGAAGGATTTTGTGGTCGTCCTAGTCATCTCAACGTCGACCGCGAAAAGCAAAAGCTTTGTGACAAGTAAATCAGTCCTAGCTATGGTAATCTCACAGGTCCAATAAATACGTCATTTTCATTCTGCGAAAGACGTTATAACTGGTCTTACTTAGAATAGTACCAAAGCGCTTGTCATATGAATGATTTGCCCACAATACACTTGGAGTGCCGTTTGCAGTTGTGCATCGATAAGTATCACTGTTCGATTGGTCTAACAGAATGCTGAATCCACACTAAAAGAAATGCGCTGCCAAGACACTGGCTAAAAATCCCTAACCCTAAAAATCCACAACTCTATCAGATCAAACGACCGCATCCTGTATCGAAATACTTTAGCCTACAGCGAACCATGATCAGTATCAGTTAGACTGTTCGTTGATTACAGCTGGCCATTTTAATGAGCACCTTAGACTTTGAGCATGGCTCATCTGTGGTCAATAACTTTCGTTACTTGTCGGTCCGTCGAACGGACAACATGTTACGATAGTTCATTAGACATTGAAAGCTTCTTATTTCTGGCCAGAATGACCTCAGACTCCACCCAAACCATCAGACTAATTGAAGGGTTCGTTGACCTGAGAGATGCAACCACACGAAAGTTTAGGTCATTCTCGCCGTCATACGGGTTCAGCCTTAAATGGTTTTCTATCGAACAGTCATTCTTGCGCTGCGTGCTTAAGCTTACGAATAATGAATGCCTGTATCACATACGATGGCTGTGAGGGAGTTCCAAAAAGCAACAAATAGTTATAACTGAAGTCGGTTCGCGGTCTTTAATGTTACAGACGGCAAGATATATAAGAGTGAAATGAACATCGCTTGGCACCTGGACGCTTTTCTCTAGCTACTTTTACCACCTACTCAGATGATCGACTATTAACTGGCGTAATATCTACAGTTTACGCAATATCAAGTATATTACAAAAATCCATCTCCGTTGCCATTGTTAACAAGAAGTGTTTCGACCGAACATTGACAAAGACCACCTCTGCCACTTATAGTAATTAATTCAGAATTTTGAATGTCACAACTTCTAGACGTTGAACCTATTTGGCGCTTAAGTAGTCAGCCTACCAAAACACAATTGTCCTTGAAATTTGCCGGTTCTGAGCTTGAACTGCAGTCCCACGTCTTCATCCATTTTAAAACTTCGAGACCATGAAAATGCCAAACATATGGTACCTGAAAAATTACTGTATTGTATCAACCTCCTGCAAACTTTGGGTATGCAATTATGCTTCAAAACTGATACATAATTTTACCTTGAGAGATGAACCACTGACTATCCAATTAGCCACATGTGGGATGTTCAAAAAAGGAAGGTTGAAACATATTCTACACACGCGGTCGAAGGAGGTTCCCTTTTTAACCTATTTTTCTGGGGTAGGTCTCAGATATCATTACAACACATGAAATTGGTTAGCATCGATTTAATGTACAAGCTGAAACAATTCGATTGGTACATATGTACAGTAATCACTGCAGAAAATAGTCTCACACACTAAGGAAGAAATCACGCTGATTCCAATACTTGCTTTAGAAACACAATTACAGAAGCATGCTAGGACCAGGCGCGCGTTAGTAGCAATTTTTAACAGATCAAGAGGCTGCAGTGAAATAACCAGTTTGTATCCTAAAACACATCTTACTTGAGACATTTAAGCGCTGATTGTTGTGAAATATCTCTAGTGTTTTATGAAACCTGCAAACTCAGGAAAAATTCGTTTCAATAAAAAGGGAATCAGAAGTTGTCCGGTACGCAGTACCGACGCTTCGCCGCCGTACAACCACCACCAGTCGCACGTGGGCTAGGGATATTGCATGGGTCGCCCAGTCCCTACGCTGGCTCGAAATCGCACGGTCGGAGTACAAGGCAGAATTGCCGTCCTTAGAACTACGGGCTACTGAATCAGTGAGTAGATGTGTAAACCCTAGAAGAAAAGCATTTGCTTAGACCCGTAGGTTACTGGCAACAATTTTACTTGCGAAGCATTGGGTAATTTCTTGTCAGTCACGTCCCATTATGACGAAATGGAACAATATGGGCCACTGACCATAACCGTAATCTGTGGGCTAAACACTATGATTACCACCTCAGCCTCAAACCACTAGACTCTGAGTTCCACCCAAACTCAGAGTATCCCCGCCTGATAAGTGCAAATCAGGAGGAAACCGTTTTTGTGGTGTGTCAGTGTTGGGATTAGCAACACCGAAATATTTCCATTTCAGATATGGTCCTTGCAATTGGAATGACCGAGGTCCACCTTAGGGGAACCAAGTTCGGTATAGAGGTGGCGTGTCTCTACCCAGCCACACAGCAAGTTCTCCACGTCTAACTTTGAATATTTGGTCGTTTGTAAATAGATGATGGTTGATAAACAACATGTCTTAAACGATGTTCAGCATATTAAAATATTCTAAATAATTAGTTCATGAAGTTGAAGTGTATAGTACTGTGACTGTTCGTTGATTGCGCAATATTTTATGCGATCATTTCATGATGGGTAGTTTGAGCGTACGCAACCTATCACACGGTGTGTATGTTGATTCCACAGCTCAGTTAGTAAATTGATACTGTTACCTACTAAACTATTATTTTTAATTCTCAGCCAGAAGAGTCTGTCAGAAGGCAAGCGATTACATGGCTAATCGTTTTCTTGCTATTGAGATTGTAAAAGTGCTAGTAAGTCTGTATTCAAAAGGGCAACTAAATCACCACAAGAATCATGTCTGTCATGGTGTTGAGATTTGATTTAAAGTAGAGTTCTCAGTGAAATCTGTAAGCTACTTGTCGTGGGTTATTGTCAGCCCGATGACTTAAGGAGCACAAGTCTGTCCTGTAAGCTGAGTTCGCACGTTCTAGCCTGCGTGTGGAGTCGGGCGACCCACGCAGTACCCCTAACCCACGTGTGACTGGTGTTCCTTGCCCGGTAGCGAAGCATCAGTATTGCGTACCGGCTTACCGGCGAGCCTTAGAAAGTCGAAACACCGGCTTTTGGTGTTTTTCCAGACTAGCCTAAACCTGCTGACTGGGAGTGACGATGATGAATTAGCTGAATTATACCAAAATCCTCACTACTGATCAACAGTACTATTTTGACTTTACCGGCAAACAGCGCTTTATATTAAAGAATCGCGAGTAGAATATTACTGGCAGTTCGGCTTTGCCTATGTATTTTCCCCAGTCTTCCGTACACATTCAGAGAAATATCTACTCAGTCTACACCGCACGGTCCCTGTAGCCTTTCATTCTACTCAGCCTCAAGAAATGAGAAGCATTGCGTCTCATGGGATCGAGAACCAAGTTTCTGGACCATGTCGTCTGTGTTTGGTCAGAAGTTCAAGGAGTCTACTCAAAACCTGTATTTTCTGTTGCCACGCTACTGACGTCTGCACATAGCTCTGAAGATGGGCACTTTAGATCAAACGGCCCGTCTTTAGATGGACAATGTTTGGCTTGATCCTGAGCAATGGTTGCTGGGCCCTAATCACCCGCACTTGATCCTATTCCACCCGCACTGACAAAGCTGCCCTGTCACAAAACCACTAGCTTTGGGGAAAAAGGAAGTAATCCTGGTTACTGGCAACCCGGAAATAGGAACAAATAGTGCTCTGTCCGTTCAGGGAACCAGTGACTGTGTGCAAATCAAGAAGCGTATATGGCCATTCGGCCCCACTTCTATTGTGGTACTTGTACCGCAGGAACAGCAACATGGTGGCCTGAAGATAAATCGAAATAAACTACAATCTGTCCAGCTCTCTTAAGGAAGCTACATGCGATCACAACTGATATTGTTCTTAAGAAATTAGTCATTGACGATTATATACGGTGTCTATAAAGATCGGAGCTCATTAGACAGTCGTTTGCGCAGTTATAATCCATTGTCTTTACACTTTCTGGTGGATGGTCTGTAGGATAAATACAAAGGCCAAAACGCTGTGAAATTCACGATCATAAAGTTCATCCTGAGTAATCTGCTTTTCTGCAACTTGTTGTTTTTCAGAACACATAGGAGTGTTGTTACTTTGATGTCTACTAATTTCATTGGAAAAACAGGCCAGTTAGGCCTGAGTTCATCGAATTTACCGCATGCTACTGGAGCTGAATGCGCACTTTTCCAACTCTTGAATCATGCTTAATCCGAAGTTCAGTGCGGATCTAGCTTAGTCCACCAAGTAAATTCAGCTCAGAATGTGAAACGATTGGGGTTTCTTTGATTTTTATTTTGTTCTCTCTTATTCCACTTCATACAAATATATTCTCCCACCGGGAAAGCTATAGCCAGCGGTAACTCGCCCCGCTATTGTCACTGTCATATGGGGTAGAACCAGATCAGGGAAGAAGCGAGAGTTGGATGCGCGGATGTGTTAGCCTTCGGAAACATGCGTATTGCCGAGACAGACTTTAACAATTTCGACACATTTCGTGAAGGAATTCCACTTATGCAGACGTGCTGAGAAAATATAGACCGTCAGTGCCAGTTTGGAATCGCGGTCTCCCATTCTGTTAATATCTTCCAGTCTTAAAATGCCCTATGGATGATAATTTATAATGGGTAAAAAAGCGGATACATGAACAGTCATGTAGGGTGACCCTGGGTCAACTTTTACCGTTATCTACCGAAATGAAAACGCCAGGGTGCTGAAGTTT